CAACAAAATGTTATATGCCACGAAAATGTATCAAATATGAATATATATATATATATATATATATATATATATATATATATAATTTTATTTTAGGACTCGAATATCTAGCGAATGTCATACTTTTAGGCATGGCAAATCGAACATTTTTATGGCAAATCATCATTGCCGAGGATCGCGAGTTTAGTCATCGGGCTCACATTGTTAATCTTAACAGATCAGAGTTAATCCTGCTTCCGCACAGTTTAAAACTTCAAGGCGGCAGCTGAGGCCCGTGCACCGGTTACTAATTTACAGCTGCTGCTTGTGAGCCGTGAGTGACCACCAACACGTAGCTCGTGATCTCAGCGCTCGCTCGCTTGCCAGCCACTGTCACACTGTGTGTAATGGTTTCCAGTAATTAATCAATGCCTCCAAGGTAAACTACCACGATGGTGGCCGGCTGGTGGCTGGCTAGGAGTAGGGGACGGCGCGTTGGCGTTGCGCCCACGTCGAATGAAGGTCGTTAATTTCAGAAAATAAAAAATGAAGGTCGTTGGTTCCGTAGATCGCAGCGGTTGGACCCGGGATCCGGCCGGAAGTAGTACTCTCTCCGTTCTTAAATACGAGTCTGTCTAGAATTTCAATACATACTCCCTCTGTCCGAAAATATTTATCGCAAAAATGGATATAAATGGATGCATCTAAAACTAAAATATGTCTAGATACATCCATTCCTCCGATAAGTATTTCCGGATGGAGGAAGTACTACATACGGATGTATATAGACATATTTTTTTAGAGTGTAGATTCATTCATTTTGCTCCGTATATAATCTATAATGAAATTTTTAAAAAGACTTATATTTAGGAATGAAGGAAGTAGTCTGGATGGATGAATAATATGGATGGAGTGGACCCGTCGATCCAAGACATGCTACTCTACTCGACCCCATGTATACTACCAGTACTAAGTACTCCCCCCGTCCCAAAATTCTTGTTTTATAATTATCTAGATACGGATGTATCTAATATTAAAATGTGACTTGATACATCCGTATTTAGACAAATTTAAGACAAGAATTTTGGGACGAAGGGAGTACGAACGTATACGTACATTGTTCCACATGTGCTGTATACGTCGTCGGGGACCGTTTTCTACAGCTAGTACGTACATGAGGTATTTTTTCTTCATACTGCATAGGTTGAGATTGCTCACGTGAGAAATTAGCTTTGTGTGTGCTCCAGCACTTCACTCGACGTGACAAGATGGGCGCATTATTTGTTTGTTTGTTTGCTCAGGTAGGGTGCCAGCACTACTCTTCTTGCACGGCAGCGTCGGGTAACTGAAAATGTCCTTTGTTTTCTCAAGCGAAAAAATGTCCTTGTTTTAACAAAACTGATGTGCGGACGATGTAGCTTGCACGACAGCTGCACGATGCCCGCTCCGACCGTCTGCTAGCTGCCCTATGGTCATATGCAGGGACGAGCTAATCTACACTCTTGTGCAGAAATCGTCTGCAAAG